CTCATAGATGGATGGGTGCCTATGTCTGGACTCATAGATGGATGGGTGCCTATGTCTGGACTCATAGATGGATGGGTGCCTATGTCTGGACTCATAGATGGATGGGTGCCTATGTCTGGACTCATAGATGGATGGGTGCCTATGTCTGGACTCATAGATGGATGGGTGCCTATGTCTGGACTCATAGATGGATGGGTGCCTATGTCTGGACTCATAGATGGATGGGTGCCTATGTCTGGACTCATAGATGGATGGGTGCCTATGTCTGGACTCATAGATGGATGGGTGCCTATGTCTGGACTCATAGATGGATGGGTGCCTATGTCTGGACTCATAGATGGATGGGTGCCTATGTCTGGACTCATAGATGGATGGGTGCCTATGTCTGGACTCATAGATGGATGGGTGCCTATGTCTGGACTCATAGATGGATGGGTGCCTATGTCTGGACTCATAGATGGATGGGTGCCTATGTCTGGACTCATAGATGGATGGGTGCCTATGTCTGGACTCATAGATGGATGGGTGCCTATGTCTGGACTCATAGATGGATGGGTGCCTATGTCTGGACTCATAGATGGATGGGTGCCTATGTCTGGACTCATAGATGGATGGGTGCCTATGTCTGGACTCATAGATGGATGGGTGCCTATGTCTGGACTCATAGATGGATGGGTGCCTATGTCTGGACTCATAGATGGATGGGTGCCTATGTCTGGACTCATAGATGGATGGGTGCCTATGTCTGGACTCATAGATGGATGGGTGCCTATGTCTGGACTCATAGATGGATGGGTGCCTATGTCTGGACTCATAGATGGATGGGTGCCTATGTCTGGACTCATAGATGGATGGGTGCCTATGTCTGGACTAATAGATGGATGGGTGCCTATGTCTGGACTCATAGATGGATCTGTGTCCAAGTGCATGCACCCGGACCTACATGGATGTGCAGAGTTGGGTCGGTGTATAACTGCATCCTCCCACAGGGATGTACAGGCAGCTGCAAGCAATTACACGCCCTACAGATGTGCGCGCCCGTGTGCATGAGGCATTATACTTAATATATTAAAGTTATACATCACTTGTGAGATTCAACACAGGATTTTCTATATGTACACATTTTATGAGATGTACTAGCACGGTTTTTTTTTTTTTTTTTTACTATCATCAGCACAGGCATTGTGCAACACAGGTGTTGTGTATGACACAAATTTGCATATCCCTTTGTGACAATTTCACATTTTATACTATTTTTCACATTTTAGGAATATAATTTTCGAGTTTGAAGCGCAGTGCTATTTTCTTTTTTCCTATTTTGGGTGTACTCACCTATTAAGCACAGCTGCTCTTAGAGTGTTATTTGATTCCTAGCGCAGTTTCTTTCTAACTAACATTATACTTAATAGTTTGGCTTTCACGCTCATCCAATGGCTTCAATACAGAGTCACCGAGCTGACACAACTATGCAGATTGGGAGTTTTGATGTCACTTTCAGCGTGCTTGTCTGGGCCAGCGACTCTGAAAGGATTGAGGACAAGGGCAGCCAGGCCAATAGCATTTTCAAAACAATACAGCCAGTGACAACCCTTGAAGAAGAACATCCGCTTCCTTCCTGTACACTTTACAATAACAACCATTATAATCAAATGAAATGGAAGAGATTTATAAAATATTCTGTCTCCGGGTGTCCCCGAAATATTCAATATATGTGTCACCGATACAAAGATGGCACCCACAGCTGAGAGCTTAGGGCTTATTCACACTGAATGCAGTGCGCTCCAGAGCAGTAGCTGCTGGAACGCACTGGCAGTGCAATGAATTCAATGGCACTCCTTCCACCACGCGCCACCGCAATATGCTCGGATGCGCGGCAAAGCTTTGCCTGCGTTTCGTTCCACTGCAAACGCAAAAAATGCTGCACAATCTATTTTTTGCGTTTGTAGTGAAACGGAACGCAGGCAAAGTTTAGGAGTGGAAGGGGTGCGATTGAATTCAATGCCCCGCCCCCTCCCCAGAAAGCAGGGGGAAGTTTTGTGAGGGATTGCGATGCATTCCAGCAACTACCGCTCTGGGTTCACACCTAGGCGAAAACACGCGTTTCCGAGGGCTACTTGGCTGTATCCCAATGGAAACGCCCAACAAAAACGGCCCAAAGTAGTACATGTACTTGTTTGGGCGTAGGCAGTTTTGTAGGGCGTTCCAGATGGGCGGAAATACGGAAAGGTGTGAACCAGACCCATAGAAAACAATGGGATTTTCATGTTTGTACGTTTTGTAGAGCGTTCATAGAGCCTTGAACGCGCAACAAAACGTAAAGGTGTAAACAGGGCCTTAAAGGTGTACTCCAGCAACTGCCAAAAAAAAACAACCCTTGCAGTGTCCTGACACCCACACCACCGCAAGGGTTGAATACTCATTGCCTAGGGTACCAGTAGATGCACTTTTACTTACCTTATCCCTCACGCCGCACTCACCTCTTCCCTCCGACGCTCAGGCTTGTGGGCGGGTCCTTGGTAGACATGTATGAGGCAGATAAATTCGGTTCGGTTATTTTTCGGTTCAGGTTTCGGATGAATTTATAAATATTCGCTGCGAGTAAAACAGAAAACCAAATACAGATATTAATACTAAAGCGGAATCTCCCAGACCCGAATGGCATTCAGGATCCGAAATTCCAAATTACATTGGGGAGCGCCTGAAGGCCAATCGGGTCTGGGAGCCTCAGCTTTAGTATTATATGTATAGACTGTATATGGCTCCTGTGTTGCCATAACGACAATTCGTGTTCAGACCCATTCGGAGGCATTAACCTGAAAAACACATCTGATTGGCCAGAAAAGTCACATGTCCAATTCAGTTTCGTTTTGAAGGAAATCCGGAAACGGAAATTTGGAATCGGACGCTTTGGGATTTGGGAATTCGGATGTGTCCGAATTTCGGAAAATTTGCTCAAATTTTGATTGGGAATTAAACGAATCGCACATGTCTAGCCCTTGGCGTCTTCACTTACACTGCGGGACTGATGGTCCTGCATTGTACGCGATGACAGCTCAACTGGCGGCAAAGAGACTACAGGGGACCAGTACAGGGAAGGAGGAGCTTGTGTGAGGGAGGGATAAGGTAAGTAAATGTGCTTTTTACTGGTACCCTAAGCTTTAACGAAAATCTTCAGTCACTAAAACACAATGCGGTTTAACATGCTAATGCAATTACAAAAATCGTTTTCCATATTTTTAAAATATAAATAATCCCTACTGGTCCCTCTTCCTGGTATAGGGTGACAACGCTCTGTCCTTGCTTCCCAATCCTGCTGCTGCATTGTCACCCTGCCGCACGGGCTTTCCGATGGAGACTTCCAGGGGCCGCTTTAACACAGGCATGGGTGTCACCATCGGAAAATCACATCACATAAACCAGATACATTAAAACCGCAGAGAAGATTCAACATGTTCGTCGGTTTCAAAGTCCCTGCTCGTATTTAACAATCTGCCGATTTAATTAAAAAAAAAAAAAGGTACCTGGTGATCCTGCCAGGAAGGTTCTTAATTCAGGTGCTGTCTGCTACAGGGTAACAACGCACTGTCCCATGGGGGGGAGTGGGTGGCAATTAACGGGGGATCAGCTGAAATTCTAACAGGCAGCCCCACTACAAGGGTTAATTTGGAGAAAAAAAATGGAGTTCTCCTTTAAGCTGGCCATATGCTGTTAGGATTTGGGCCAATCTACACGGGATGGGGGGGAGGGGGGGAGGGCATTTTATGGGGATCAGCCGAAATTCTAACGGGTAGCCCCACTGCGGGGGTTAAAAACCCATCCTGGAGTTCTTATTTAAGACATTTGCTGGCACGCATTTATCAGGAATAGGCAACCTCAGCGCTCCAGCTGTGCTAAAACTACAAATCGCACCATCCCTCTGCCTCTGGCAGCCATGCCTGTGGCTGTCACAATCTTGCAATGCCTCATGGGAGTTGAAGTTCCACAACAGCTGGGGCGCTGAGGTTGCCTACCCCCCCGGATTACAGTATCGTCCGGACAGAAGCAGGTTGGGGTCTGCAGGAACGTTAAATAAAGCACGGATATATAGTGGCTGCCAAGAGGCTACAGGAGATCAGCAGCACAGTGATGCAACTACAAAGTCTGTAAAACCTGGCAATTGTATACAACACACAGAGCTTTAGCTAAAAGTCATCCTGCTAGCAGTTCACATCTACTTCAACCCAGCATGAGTCATCTCCATCCCACCCTTGGCAGGCTCTCTCGCCCCCCCCGTAGTAGTAATCAATCCCCACGCCCGCACTTCCCAGCTGGCAGCCTCCACAGACCCCACATCGAGCTCGTCCTGGCTCCTGTCCCCGCGGGCGCCCCCTGCCGGCCAGTTCCCACGATCGCGTCCCGTCTCATGCCACTGCCACTCAACACGCTTCCAAAGTCTCTTTTTAAAAACACTTTATTAGAACATCTTCTCATCGTAAAAAACAAAACATTTTCTTTGATATAAAAGTTTTACAAAAAAAGTCACATAAATAAAAGTTTTTTGTTTTTTTTTGGCTGAGCCCGGCAGGTGCTTACTGGACATCGGACTCGGTCCTGTGGTCGGGCGACCATTGAAGGACCGGTCTTCACTTTCTAAGCACCGGGGACCCGGCTCGGCTCTTACAGTATCCGACACTCTCAGGTCACATGCTACCCTACAGGCAAAGCCAACCTGCAGCCTTGGGGGTACCACCAACTCTTGTACCCCCCTAGTTTGGCAGCTGCTCCCCCACATTCACACACAGATATATATAGCATACAGAAGAAGAAACATGAACGTAGCTTATTCTTGCAGCTTGACAAGTCCCTATGGGTGCCATTAATCCCTCAAAGTCACATTAAAGGGGTTCAATGCACGGCATCCAGGGGTTTGTTTTTTCTTTTAAATACTGTTGGGCTGCATTCGGTTTACAGTACTAAAATACAAAAGTGACATGGAAAACAAAAACGCTTGGTGATGGCATTTACACCTGGATGACCAGTGAACCCTTTCCAGTTAAGTGGTCCTGGTACCGGTCCAACCAGCCCCTCAGTTCTGAGATCTTGTAGCCCTCGGGTCCTCTGCCCCCTTGGTAGACCACCTTGCCGTCCAGGATGACATAGAGTCTCTCGAAGTACGCCCCGTAGGCAGCGTTGGACGCGTTGGCCATGGTGTCCGCCACCACCCTGCAGCCTGGCACCCCTTGGATCATGAGCTGGGCGGCGCGGAGCCGGTCTTGGAGGCACTGGTGCGTTGGGATCTGGTAGGGGGCGTCGGTGCTGACCCAGCCGTCGGACGGGTGCGCTTCTTCTATGTAGACCAGCAGGAAGTCTACAAAATCGACGCGCTGCGCTGCCAGGCGGTGGAAGGCTTGCAGGCGCGCCATGAAGGGGGGTCAGGTGCAGCTGCCGAAATTGAGGACCAGCGGTCTCTGGCCCTTGGAGAAGTCAAGGATCCGGCACAGCCTCTGGCCCTCCAGCGTGACCACCTCGGTGTTAGGGGCCGTGCTCCCCAGGTGGGCCGACTTGAAGAAGTCCAGCTTCTGCCCGTACCAGACCGCCTTCAGCGACTCCGCCGTGCACATGCGGTTGGCGTCGGAGACGCAGAGCGGCGGGTCTTCCCTCTCGGAGCCCTCGGTGTCCATGGTGGTGCGGACCACCCTCCTCCTGATGCAATGGAAGTCCATCAGCCAGAGCATGAGGGCGGTGAGCAGGAAGCGGGGCAGCAGCAGGCAGCAGACGAGCACCTGTTTGAGAAGTTTGCAGCAGGTGTGCGCTCCAGCCGCGCCGGGCAGCATCTTTTGCCGGGTCCCTGCCGCGCGTCGGCGCTGCTGCTGCTCCTCCACCACCAGCAGCTCAGGGGCTTCTGAGCACCCGCTCCTCGTTTACCCCCCATTTTATAGGCACAGATTTAAATGAAAACGATGACTCCACCTCCG